CTCGGATTGAAGATGCTCATGAATGTGGCAAAATTCACACTTGTCCAAAGAATGCTCTTATAATTCAACAAGAAAGTTGAAGAAGACAAAAAAAAAAAAAAAAAAACTTATCAATGGTACTCAAAACAAACAATAGCAACGATCTGCAGCCACATTAATGACCATTGAGATAATGGAGATTGCGATGATGATTATGACGACAATGATGGTGATGACGTTGATATTGGTTATGAAGAGACAAGAAAAAACAAGTTTAAAGACAGTAGTAAATACTATACGATCAACATTAAACCCTTGCCCATTGAAAATATTGCTGGGTCATCTTGCCAAAGAGGTTGGGGATTTTTATGACTTTCAAAGTGTCTGTGTAGTTTTTTTTTATTGTCTACATTTCATTCATGGATTGATCTTTTAATTTTGTTTAAAGCACACAAAACAATAATTGGTCATGTTTTGTTGGTGGTGGGACCATTTAGGATATGTTGGCAAAGAAAGGGTAAATTCGGATAGCAAACATGCTGGGTTGGCTCAGCGGGTTTGACAACTTCCTGCTGGGTTGGGGTTAAGAAACACATTCATAATCACAGTTTCCAAATAAATTTGTTATGGCCAGCTACCGCTAATGGTTTTATGTTTTGTTTTTTATTTGTTAAAAAACATATGAGCCCGACAAGTAGCCTATTATTATGATATATTGATTTTAACACTTTTGTTGAGGTTAGAAAATTTATTGTGTGCCCCTCAAAACGGCTGGCTGTTCACTTGAATGCCAGCCAATGTTTATTTTCTATTTATTTGCCAAAAAACACCCACTTCATTAGTTGAATTTGCAATGAATGCTTTTTTGTTGTAGTTGTTGTTTTGTGTTTTTTTTTTTGTTGTGTTTGAGAAGCAGTTTGTGATGAGTAGGTACCTGGCAATTGACGTTTTAAATGCCATGTCAATTTGAAGTGACACTCAGTCAGTCAGCCAGTCTGTTGTTTGAGAGATGTTGCAAACAAGTTGTGCTGTTTTGAAAATCAGTTCAAATATTCTCAATTGTGGATTTTTTTGCAAAACAAATAAAATTTATTTTTTGTTGTTGTTTTTTCTTTTTATAATAATCATCATCAATTGTCTTTTTGTTTTGTTTTCTCTTCAAAAAAAAAACTCAAGGTTAAACTTTTTTATATATTTCCATATAATTCAGTCAAAACCAAGAGGGCAGGGGTGGAGATTCTCATTACCATTTCTAAACTCACTCGAGCGTAAATATCGTCAATACATTTCGAATTTTCATTTTGATGAAAAAACAAAACACATATACACACACAAGGCATTCGTTGTCGTCGTCATCATCATTTCAAACATTTTGTTCGAAACGTTTAATTATGTCATCGTTTTGATTAAAATGATAGATTGACATAGAAATGATGGATTTGTGTAGGAAAAAAATAACAACAAAATAGAAGTAGGAATAAAATATGGCAGCACTGTTCTTAATTGCTGGGAAAAAATGGAATAATGAAAAAACAATACCACCAAAGCTACTGACCTAATTTCAAAGATAAATTTGAGGAAAAAAACTACGAAAAAAAGGAAAAAGGGGGCCCTAGGGGCTTTCTCCTTCCAAAATGTTTACTTTTTTGACATTTGTACATATTTGGATGTGGAAAAATTTTGAACAGGTAAATTTTATTATTTTTTCGAGATTTTTTTTTTAAATCGCTGCTATGGGGACCTCCACCATTAATTACATTTGGGAACCAGGAAACCAGAATGATGGCAATTTAGAACATTTTCTATTGGTAATATAAAACAAAAATGTCTCCCGCAAGACTAGAAGAAAATAGCTCCATATCCAGAAGAATTGAAAATTCGACGAAAATCAGGGTTTTGTTGGGGTCATATTGGTAGAAGACAACTTAAATATCAACTATGGAGAAAAAACGAATTCAAATACGAACGAAGCAGGGTCGGGTATATAGTTGCTCTTTTATATTCTCCCAATTTTGTTACTCTCTAAATACCATCAGCGGTGCTAATGGTGTGTTTGAAGGGAATTAGGCTCATTTAAGGCATGCGTGCCTGCTTTTGCTTCTTGGCCCTTCTTTGAAGATAGAAAAATACTCCAGATATCTTTTATGAAAAGAGTGCCTTTCTAGAGACCTTTAAGAGAGAAATTCGCAAAGAATGCAGTGAGCCCTAATAGACGACATTAGTCTACAATTGAAATATAGTAAAAACAAATAATTAATGACAAAAAGAAGAGACGAATACGACTAATTTTCCATTTATCGAAGTTTTAACAACGAGCGTAAGAGAAAGCATCGCAAACGTACAGTTTTGTGGACAAGTCTTCTCCATATGTAGATCCGCTCTTACAGCCGTTTATGAAAATAATAACCTCAACATATACGTGAACTTCACCCAATGGTCTTCTGCTTGGAAACCAATGAAAAAGTCTTTACAGATAGAAAAAATATCCCCATGTCGTCTATGCATGGAGATTCTCCCTAGAGTCATTCGATTGAGAGACACGCGACCTTTTGCAGATAAATATCCATTCTAGGCTGCCTTTTTTTTAAAGATTACTACATTTCAGATGAAATTAATGGATGGAAGACATTTTTCATACCATTATTGCATATTATATTAAGAAAACCCACCTCTGCTATCCTCTAAAGCTAGAAGCCTTGTAGAGGCCTCATATAGGTACATGTTCTTATAATTTTTCTACTGATAAAAAAAAACTATTCTAAGGGCACCCTCCGAAAAAATCCCTTTAGGGTCTTCTACAATCAAAAGTAACCCAGACGTCTTCTGCTTATAGACGAGAGGTGTCCTGTAGATAAATAATATTTTTTTGAAATTAGGCCATCCCAGATAAAATACCTATCTAAGCCTCTTAAGGCTCTTACATACAATATATATCTTTAATCTACCAAGAAATGGGTCTACTTTGGAGTTTATATTAATAGAGACCTCAGATATCCTTTACTTTCATGATCCTTTAACATGGGACCTGTGAAAAAGAAATTCTTTTCAGCTGTATTTTATATCTTTGAAGCCTTTCCAAACATCTTCTAGACAAAGAAGACCTGAACTAGTCATGTTCAACAGCTAAAAAAAATTCAAACGATTTCTGGATATTCTAGAAGTCTGCATTATTTTTAAAAAATAATAAAAGTCTGCCTGCAGAACATATAGGATAAAAATCTTCCCAGTAATCTGCAAAGAGAGTTTAGTGTAAGGGTATCATTTTTTGTGGTTCGCCCATATTTAGAAGTCTTTTTTGAAAACCTTTAGAATGGTATGAGAAAATTAAAAGGAATACCCGACAAGAGTAGAATCTGCATGAAATCGAGTGTATTTAACTCCCACTCGAAAGCGAGCAAAGCACACCCGCTCATATTCGAGTGTAATGGAAAAATAGAATACATTTGTTTTCCGCTTTTTTAGTCGCAGGAATATGAAAAAACAGAGAGACTTCAGAAAGAGTTGAATATGCTCGATTTTGAGCGTATTTTACTGGTACTACTAAAGAGTCATAGAATATATTGTATAGGGTATTTCTGTGCTTCAACAAAACAAGTATCTCAATTTTTGAATTTTCCTGCAAAAAAAAAACTTATATATAGTCTTTTGGACTAGGCGATAAAAATTACGATCCATATCCTAACCAGCCATTACAAGGGAGCTTTATGTAGCATATATCTGGGTGTCGTTTCAAAAAGTTTGAACATTTCCCTATTGAGCAGCTTTTGCATATGGCTACAACACTGGTTCGCCTATTGCAGATAGAACAGATTAAACAGGACTCTTTTTTCCTTTCTCTGTTAGATTTTGTTTTATATTTCAGTATATGGCATATGGTCATGGCTTGGATGGACGAACCCCTTCAAACATGTATTTTTCGGTTTATGACCATTTATGTGCCCTCAAATTGTTTTCTTATATTTTCCTTCAGTAGAAAACTATTACAATTTGCAATCTTTTTCTTTAATTTTTATGAAAATTGAATTCCGAAAAATTTATTTTTGGTTTGGTATGAATTCTCTGAACTTGTGCGTGTCATCCTTTTCTCCTGATCACATTACATATATGTATTCCAGCCAATATGTGTAGTTATATATCCATATAATCAACATATGTGTGTGTATGCCATTTCTACACTGAATCCAGTGTCTGCTCTAGGTAATTGTAATTGCTGTAATTAAGTTTTCATTTGGCGTTGTAATTAATTACAGGCCATTCTTTTCAAATGTCCGTCTGCCAGTCTGGGGGCCGTTTGTTGGATGTTGTTTTTTTGCTCTCTTCTACTACTATGTCCATTGTGCTGGCGCTGCTGTATTTTGTAGTTATTATTTTAATTTTATTTTTTTTTTTGCTTTGTATTATTACATCTTGGCCTTTAATAGCTCTGAATATAGTCCAGTATGCATGTGAATGTGTTTTTCATTTTTTCTGCAGAAACTTTGTTTTCATTTTCATTTGGATTATACTTTGGACTAGAACTTTGATTGGGAGACTTTTGAAGAAGGTTTTTGTTGCTGTTGTTGTATTTTGAAGAACTAGAAAAAAATGGAATATTTTGGGGTCAAAGAAAAGGGCTAGACAATTGTTTGCGGTTATTAGCAAAGAGGGGTAAAGGTTGTTTCGAAACTGGAGGGTATAGAATTTCCTGATGATTTTTATAGGTATTTCTAGAAGATCTACCAGCCTCGAACTCCAATAGTACAGCTAATTTATGGGTATTTTTTGAAAGCATTTTTTTTATTTAGGCAGAGTCAAAGTTGAGTTAATTTTGATGCTTGCAGGTTATCCTGTTACGGTCATATAAACTTATTTCTAGACACAAATATGTGACAAAATTGGTCGATATTGTATTCTTTAAAAATTATTTTATTTTAATTTCAAATTATTTTTTATTATTAATATCTTATGTTTTAAATAATATTTTTAATTTAATATTTCTAAATACTAAAATTTTTATTAATTTATTTTAATTTCTTTTCCAGATTTCTCAGATTTTTCCATATCGGACAAATGCGAAGATTCCGGCCTGCGTGTCAATGGTAAAGGCAAGAAAATGCGCAAACCCCGCACCATATACAGTTCGCTGCAGCTGCAGCAATTGAATCGTCGTTTCCAGCGTACACAATATTTGGCCTTACCCGAACGTGCTGAATTGGCGGCGAGTCTGGGTCTGACTCAAACACAGGTTAGTAACGATGTTCATAGAATTTTTTTTCTCTTTCTAAATTAAAAAAAAAAAAAGAAAATTACTTGGAAATTAAATATGTCGCCGGGATTAAACACCCAGAATTCCTAATAAAACATGTGATCAGAATTGTTCTATTACTTCACTACCGAACAATAGTTTATGATCTTTGTAATGGAATTTCAATTTAAGCGCATAGTAATTTATTCATTATTTGAAAAAAACTGTGTTTTTATTGTTTTGTATTAGATAGATATTTTATTAATTATTTTTCAATATGAATATGGATAAGATTAGACTCTAATTGGAGCGAGAAATGAATATAGTTGACATTTTAAGGTTATTTAGCAGGAAATTTCTGTTTTCAGGAGATAAAGGTTAGTTTTTAGAAAAGAAAAAACTTTTTATTCCAAGAATTTCGTTTTTTTTTCGGTCTAATTTTCATAAAACCACTTTTATTTTATGTTTTACTTTCATTGGAGCTGCATCAATCCACATACATAAAGTCTACATAAATTAGCCTTGCCAAGAAATCTATTTGCATTGCATGCCAGCTTTAACGCCTAAGGCGTTAAATACTTAACAGCCAACCTCAAACAAAATAAGGAGACTTGAGTTGATATTCAAAAACGAGTCAGTCAAAAAATGAAAAAAAAAAACTAAACTAAAATACCCAGTAAAAAATTGAAAACAAAAACCCGCACACTTTTGCTTCTCTTTTTTTTTTTTTTCAAAAAAGTCCATTTGCTTACGAACACACTGACATTTTTCCTCTATTTTCTTTCTGATGGTTGCATTTTGCAACTGACATGTGGTGAGCCAAGAAAAATACTAAACTGGCAGCTGTCAATCGCAGTGCACTGGGAGAAAATACCAGCAAAATTAATTAAAATGCTCGGTATTGGATTCTGCAATCGAGTGGATTTGAAATACTTGATTAGAAGCTAGAAGATATAAAGCAAATCAGTTTAGAAATATTGCCTATTTTCTTGTCGATATTTTGAAAATATCGGTATCTGTGAGTCAAATTTGCAACATCAACCATTCGTAGAATTCATAGCCTAAACCCGGTATCCTCTGGAAGCTCGACAAAAAAAACGGTTAAAATATTCGTCAGACCTCTTCGAATTAATAACTGTTTCGTCATAATAGTGACTGAGTTACCTTGTGGCTTTCATGTCTTTATATATCCCATTACACACTCGATGCTCGACAAATCCATTGTTAAAATACCAGACCTTTTCCAATTAATCACTATATCGTTGTGTCGTAGGTGAGTTTCCATGAAGCTGTCATTTATAAGGCCATGGTTTTCTTTTCCATTTTCTAAATAAAAAATATCACCCCATAACCGATGGCGCCCAACGTGAGAGAAATGTTTTGTATTGTTTGATCTTTAAAACGCTTCAGAAGCTATCCGAGTTGTTCATAGGTCAATCCATATTTTATATACTAAACATTTTTAACACAAAATTTATGGCGGAATTTCATTTTGTTAATGGAAGCTAAATTATTCTCATACCCCTTCCCAAAAGTATTTTTCTGTGATTTTTCACATTTCTCTAATATTTAATGCATTTCATACTAAATGGCGCCCAACATGATATTGAGCTCTCTTCTAAGGCCGTTATTTTTTTTTTTTGACATTTTTGTGCATTTTTCATGAAAATGCTAATTTTATAATAGTTGGGTACCGACTGAAAAGGAAAAAAATCTTCTGGGTACGTCAAAAATCGGTTTAAGTTTTTTTAATTTTGAATTCCGCAAAAATTTTGTTTTGCCGAACAAAGAAGTCTCAATTATCCAATATTTTAAAGAAGATGTTGATGATTTTATTAGCTCATTTAATTTTCCTCTCATCTTAAAACATCAAGTGAAAAGTTTGATGGTTATCCGCAAGAGGAAATACTCCGAATATCACAAGGGAAAATCTCATTTATAACTCGTATATTATGATAACACAAGAATTTTCGTCAACATGCCTTAAAGAAGGGAAAATTGACCTTAAATATTTCATTTTGTCATCAAATGGCGCCCAACTAGGGAAAATAATTTGACTCTCTAAATATTAGAAGAAGAAATATTAATTACTGCACGGATACTATTATGTTACACATAATATTCCGTATATGGCCGCAAGAAGGAAGAATCCACCTCGAAACGGTCGCTTTGTCATCAAATGGCGCCCAACGTGGGAAGATATCCTGAATTTCTAAATATGGCAAGAGGAAATTTTTTTTACTTCACGAATGTGATTACATCACACACATTACACAAAATATGGCTGAGAGAAGCAGATACTAACTTCTAGCAGGCCAGTTTGTAGTCAAATGGCGCCCAACGTGGGGGAAATTTCCTAAATTTGTGAATATCCCAAGAGGCAATTTAATTTATTGCATAAATCTGACTGAAAAGACTCCCTTCAGGAGGGCTCTTAAGGCTAAAATGGCGCCCAACGTGGTGTTGAATTTCGGAATTTCTAATCAAGGTGAGATGAAGTCTCATTGACTATCCCCATATGTTATATAACATATATTATTCCTTATTTGCTTGAAAATGAGAAAAAATTCAAATCATTGGCCTAGTCGGCAAATGGCGCCCAAGGTGGAAGAAATTTCCCGAGATTCTAAACATGGCAAGAGGAAATTTAATTTCTCACAGGGCCTTGACATTATCACATATGTTATTCTATATAAATCCCCCAAAAAGGAAAGAACATCTTCGTAAAAGCTGCTTTAATCTAGTTGGCGCCCAACGTGGAGGAAATATTTTGAGTTTTTAAATATCACAAAGGAAAATCTTATTTAATGCACAAATATAACTACATCAAATATATTATGCCAAATATGGCCGAAGGAGACACAAAGTATTTTTTAACAATTCGCTTTGTATTCAAATGGCGCCCAATGTGGGGAAGTACTCTCAAGAGAAAATCTCATTTAGTTTGCTGATATGATTATGTTGGATGTTATTTTCAATAAATGCTCGCGGGAAAGGAGAGCACAATTCAAAAAAAAAAAAAAGATAATAATAATAATAATAATAATAATAATAAATAAATAAATAAATAAATAAAATAAATGCAAAGAGGATACATGGCGCCCAACATGGAAGAAATAACCTGCATTTTTGAATAATTATGAAACACAAAAAAAGATTTATTGGAAAAACTTCTACTCATCTCCTGAAATGCGGAAAAAAGCTAAATGGCATCAAACGTAAAGATATTTTATAAAAAAAAAATATTTTTCCCATTTACAAAGACTTTTGCTGAAACCAAGACTTTTATAGAAACCTAAAAAAGGACTCACTTCAAAGGCGGCACTTAACCGTCAGATGGCGTCATGTGGAAGAAATGTCCTGAACTTTAACATATTTAAGAAACAAGGGTTTTAAATGACTTGGACTGATTCGACTTATTTTTACTCATCTCCTGACATGCAGAAAAAACTTAAATGGCGCCCAACATGAGGAGATTGCATAAAAAATTGTTATTCCAATTTCCAAGGCCTTTCTTGAAAACCAGGCTTTGTTAGAAACCGAAAAGGCACTTTGTCGCCAGATGGCACCCAACATAAAATATATCCTAACTTTCTAAATATATATAATCTCATGTTGGGCGCCATTTAGCTCGTTTCTGGATTTCCGGAGTTTAGTATAAATAAGCAATATGAAGATAAAAGTAAGCCCTCAAGTGCTTAATTTTTCTCGTGAGATACAGAGGACAATTAGATGGCGCCCAACGTTAATAACTCTGAATGCAAGGACAAGGACTTTCGTTGAAAACGAACTCCGCATGTCTTACCTTTTCCAAGTGTATTCTCATATCCTTGGCTATTTTATGTGCAACACACAACATATTTTATCGGGTAACAAGACTAGACAAGTTTGTGGCCACAACGAGGAAACAAAACAAGAGCAAAAACAAAAAAATCCCGTCAGAAGGCAGATAAACTGGCAAACAAGACCACAAAGGGAACAAGTACACCACTGTAATGTAAAGTCGAACTGCAAGCAAAGACATGCAAACAAAGTGCAACAAATTCAGGCGAATATTTTTTCTACCAGTTATTGTTGTTGTTGCTGCTTTTGAGACACGCCTCCTAAATTTTGTGTTACTTTATTAGACAGCAACTTGGCGAAGAACAGAAACGAAAATAAAACTTTTGCAACAACGAACGGCGACAACCCACAACAGTTAAACAAAATCAATAAACGCTGCTTTTTCTTCACCTTTTCTATGGTCTTCTGGGCCAAGAACAAGAAATGGAAAACATTAAGAAAAGTGCACGTCAAACGGTAAAGGAACTCTGCTGTTGTTAAATAAGCCATAAAAAGTCAAACATAAAGTGTTGGAGAGGTTCTCGTTTCCTTTTTTTTTGTTGTGTTTTGCTAATAAAATCAACAAATAATAAATTTATGAAAAAAACGAGGCTTACACTCAAGCAAATATTTGAAAACAAATGGCTGGGGCGTCAAATACCAAAAATAGTGTTAATTAAACAAGTTAATGAACTTTGTTTAGGATATTCGCTCGACACATCTCCCCACCTCCCTCTCTCTCTCTCTTTGGTGTTTCCTTGGAAAAGGGGGAAAATTAATTTATGGCCTTCGCCGAACGGGGTCCACAGCGAAAAGGGGTGTAACTGTTAGTTTACATTTTAACTGTTATCGACTTACAACAACAACAATAGCAGCGAGTGTGCCAGCAAGGCAGACTTGCAGGAAAGCAGTTTCTTGGCTTTAGTTTGCAAGGAGTCAATTCCAAAGGAAGATGTGGTCGACATCACGTTGTTGTTATCTGTAATGTTGTCGGCCATAAACACCACAATATTATTTTTATTTTTTTTTTTGTTTATTAAAAAAATAAAAAAGGAGGTTAATGTGTAATTTTAGTCTGGCTGTATGACTGGTCAGCAAGTTATTGTTGTTGTTTGTGATATTCGAACTATAAAATTGCTTGTCTTGTCCCTTGCCATTCATTGCCCTTAGGCTGTATT